TGGAAGACACTATGAGGAAGCTGTTATATTTATTTTATAGACAAGAAAACAAAAGTTTAGAGTTTAACTTATCCAGTTCATGTGACCACAGAGTGGCCACTCTGGCTTCTAACGGGAGCGCCCATGCTCTTCCTAGTGTGGATACTGCCTCTCTAATAATCCTAGCTGAGCTTTGCAGATGTGCATTGGCAAAGCCCTTCCACATGCCCTGTGTCACTAGATCCTCAGAACACTCCTGTAATATGCGAATCACTATTTTCTTCAATTTTAAGTGAATGAAGCAGCAGTTTGGGGAATTACAACAATCTGCCCAGGTTTTCTAAGGTAGCAAATGGGTCCATTTGAATTTGAGCCCATGTTTTAAACATTGCCTAAATCTTTGCTTTTGGTATCACACTACATGACATCTCAGCATGACACCCAAAGATGGTCAAAGGGTCAATGTAAACTGAGCACAGAGGACCTGGTTCATGGGAAGCGAAGTTCCAACTGGCTCATCAGTTTTAGAGCAGCCCTTAAATCTTATCTCAGTAGCACGGAGAGGCCACTTTTAATAAGAATTATAACTAATGTTTTCATTACATGTTATTGTTTATAAAATACCTATTTTATGTGTTCTAATTATGAATGCAGAGCTACTGCATTCAAAAACAGAACAGTAAGGTGACCATATTTTTCAAGCTAGCTAGGCCCAGCCCTAACAATATTCTTAGATGCTGAATCAGTTTCCACACCCTGAAGGCCACTTTCTTACGTGACTCTGAGCTTTCTTGCTTCACTTTATCTCCTTGAGGCTACCTTGATCCTCCAGGTATAATTTTCTTGATCCTTTAAAAACAGATTTGCTGTATCACGATTATATGCCTTTTGAAAATAAGTTAGAAATGTAGGATAGAATAAAGAAGAAAGTAAGCATTTAAAAAGTATCCCACTTACCAAGATATGGTAACATTAATATCTGGTATATACTTCCTGTGTGTGTGTATATAATGGCTTCATAATATTTCATCAAATATACATGTATGTGTGTATCGTTATTTATGTAAGCATTCCATCCCTAATTCCTAATTAATGAACATTTGCTGCTTGGTTTCTTTTCAATTTATATACAACATTTCAACGGAAATCTTTGAGTATTCATCTTTTTATACTTGTCTCATTTTCTGGAAATGGAATTGTTGTTGATGGGAATATGCTTTTTAAAGGTTTTTAAAAACATGTTGAAAATTACCCTCCCAAAAATCTGAGTCTATTTATATACTCACTAGGACAGCATAAGCACATACCTTTCCCACACTGCTGCGACTGAAAATTAGCAAACCTTTATTCTTTAACAGCTGATAGGGAAAAACAATAACTTTGTTCACGTTTCTTTCACTACTTAAAAAGGTGAACATCTTTTTATCTGTTTATTAGTAAGATGATCCTATCATTTATTTTCCAATCTGGAGGTTTTTGTTGTTTTGTTTTGAGATGTAGTCTTGTTTTGTTGCCAGGCTGTAGTGCAGTGGCACGATCTCAGCTCACTGCATCCTCCAACTCCCTGGCTCAAGTGATTCTCCTGCCTCAGTCTCCCAAGTAGCTGGGATTACAGGCACGCGCCACCATGCCCAGCTAATTTTTGTATTTTTAGTAGACACAGTGTTTCACCATGTTAGCCAGGATGGTCTCATCTCCTGACTTTGTGATCCGCCCACCTCAGCCTCCCAAAGTGCTGGGACTACAGGCATAAGCCCAATCTGGAGTATTTTAAGAACAGAAGTGGGTGCTGACTGGAGAGTCAGTGAATGGGCTTATGGTCACACTATGGCTGACCATTTGCATTTCTTAGTTTGAGAATTTCTTGTTTGTAGCTTTTTCTTACTTTTCTATTCATTTGTATGCTCTTTTCTTAATCACATAAAGGTCATGCTATCATAATAATATTAATCCTCTGTAATATGTGTTAAGTATATATTCCCAGTAGGTCACTTATTTTATTTTTAATTTTGAAAGCAATACAAAAACATCATTTTTAAAGTTGGTTTCAGATTTCTTAATTCAACTCTTTGAGACAATTTTGGATTCCCATGCAATTATAAGAAATAATATAGACAATCCTCTTTACTCTTTACCAAGTTCTCTTCAGTGGTAACATCTTGCAAACCTATGGCACAACATCATAACCAGCTATCGGCATCAATGCCTCATGTTGCTCTTTTAGAGTCACAGCCCCTGCCCTTTCACCCTCTCCTTAACCCTGGGCAATCACTAATCTATTCTCCATTTCTAATAATTTTGTCATTTCTAGACTGATATATAAATGGAACCATACAGTATGTAACCTTTTGGGATCATTTTTTTTTTCACTCAGCATAATTCTCTGGAGATTAATCCAGTTTGATGCAAGCATCAGTAGTGTGTTCCTTTTTATTACTAAGTAGTATTCCATGTTATAGCTGTATCCCAGTTTGCTTAACCATTCACCTTTTGAGTAACATCTGGGTTGTTTCCAGTTTTTGCTGCTACAAAAAAGCTGCAATAAGCATTCACATATAAATTTTTGTAGTAACATAAATCTTCATTTATTTAGGATGAATGCCTAGGGGTGTGATTTTTGCCTTATACAGTAGTTGCATGTTTAGTTTTTTAAAGAAATTGCCAAGCTGTGTTCAGAGTGTCTGAACTATTCTATATTCCCACCAGCAATGTATAAATCACTCAGTTTTTCTGCATCCTCACCAGCATTTGGGGTTGTCACTATTTTTTATTTTAGTTCAGCTAAGTGGATAGTAATATCTTATTGTGGTCTTCATTTGTATTTCCCTAATGGCCATTGATATTGGATATCTTTTCATGTGCTTATTGCCTTTTGTCTCGCCTCCTTGGTAAAATATCTCTTCATATCTTTTGCCCATTTTCTGACTACATTGTTTGAGTTTGCACTGTTCAATTGTGAGAGTTCTTTATATATTCAGTTATTAGTCCTTTGTCAGATATGTGGTCTGCAAATATTTTCTCCCACTAGGTATCTTGTCTTTTCTCCCACTTAATAGGGTCTGTCACAGAGCAAAATTTTGACATTTGTAATTAATTAATTTTTCCTTTTATGGATTGTACTTTTGGTGTCAAGTCTAATGATGCTTGCCCTATATCTTAAAAATATTCTATTTTTTTCTAACAGTTTTATAGTTATAACATTTAACATTTATGTTTGTAATTCATTTTATATTAATAAATTCTGTGTAAAGTGTGAAAGTTAGATTGAGGTTCAATTTTTGCCTATGGATACAGCTCCAGAGCATCGTTCTTTCGTTCTTGCTTTTTTTTTTTTTTTTTTAAACTTTTGTTAAAAACCAGTGGGAAATATTTCTATGGGTCTCTATCTAGGTTCTCTATTCTGTTCCATAGATCCATGTGTCTGTCTCTCTACCAATATCATATGGTTTTTTTTGAGACAGAGTCTCACTCTTGCCCAAGCTAGAGTGCCATGCTACAATCTCAGCTCACCACAACCTCCACTTCCCAGGTTCAAGTGATTCTCCTGCCTCAGCCTCCTGAGTAGCTGGGATTACAGGCATGTACCACCACACCAGGCTAATTTTTGTATTTTTAGCAGAGCTGGCATTTCGTCATGTTGGCCAGGCTGGTCTCAAACTCCTGATCTCAAGTGATCTGCCCGCCTTGGCCTCCCAAAGTGCTGGGATTACAGGCATGAGCCACTGAGCCTGGCCATATAGTCTTGATAAATGTAACTGTTTAATAAGTCTTGAAATCTGAAAGATTGATTCCTCTTATTCTTCCTTTTCAAAATTGTTTTAGCCATTCTAAAGTTTTTGCCTTCCCATATAAATTCTAGAATAATCCTGTCTATGTCTACAAAATTCCTGCTGAGGTTTCAATAGAATTGGGCTAAGCCTTATAGTGAGTGGAATGGTGGTAGCTCTACAAATAATACACAAGTCATAATCTCTGAAACCAGTGAATGTGACCTTATTTGGAGAAGGGGTCTTTGCCTGTGTAACTAAGTTAAGGATTTTGAGATGAAATCATGCTGGATTATCCAAGTGAGACCTAAATCCAGCAACAAGTGTCCTTATAAGAGACACTCAGAAGCAGACAGAAGAGGAAGAGACCATTGGATCATCATGGAGGCAGAGATTGGAGTGATGAGGCCACTAGCCAAGGAATGCTGACAGCCACCAGTAGCTGGAAAATTCAAGAAAGGATTCTCCCCTGGGGTCTTTGGAGAGTGTGCTTGAGTGCCAATAACTAGACTTTAAACTTCTGGCCTTCAGAACTGGTAGATAATAAATTTCTGTTGTTTTAAGCCACTCGGTTAAAAGTAATTAGTTCTAGCAGTTATAGGAAACCAGTAAAAGGCTGTATATCAAAATATGTTACAAGACTTTTGATCTTATCTAATCCTGTTTTTAACTGGCTTCCTCTGACCCTGCTCTGGAGTGGGTAGAGGGTGGGGGATGGAAGTCACCTCATTGTTACTGCCAAATGGAGCTAGAAATCCAGGTCTATCATTCAGCACCAGAGATGGGGATTCTTTTTACTGCTGGGTGAAGATGGGAATTAGGCTCCCCATATAATCTCCACTGATGCTGTTGGTGGGGAGTGGGATACTTTTGTACAGGCCAGTGGAGATGCAAGTCCTGGTTGCCTACAGGCTCTTCTCTGACAGTACTGCAGTGGGGAATTGGAGTTCCTCGGTACAGCCTCATAGAAGGGGAAATGTAGGTTCTCCACCAGGCCTTTGCTGGTATGGGTAGGGGTGGGACCACAGTTTTTTCTGAGATGTTTGGCTGAAATACAGCAGAGCAGTTATTGGCTAAAAGTTGTCTGTCTTTCTAGACTGCCCCTTTCCTCTTCCTTTGGCTAAAGAGAGCAGGCTTTCTTTGGGGCTTTTTTCAGGGGCCAGGGGTCTGCTCCTATTAGCCTTTCTGGGTTGCTGGCTTCCTCAGATCCAAGCCTGGGATGAATGAAGCAAAAAGAAAACTCAGGGAACTCACCACCATGTCATTTCACAGGTCCTGAGGTCCCTAGTTCCTCGTGCCTCCTTCTCTTCACCTTTTAGAAACATCTCATGTTTGTTTTAGATCCAATATCCAGGGAGTTTAGTTGTATTTAGTGAAGAAATAGGAAAAAGTACATCTACTCCATCTTCCTAGAAGCAAACGTTTATTTTATTTTTTAAAAATAACTAACGCAACCTAAAGAAAACATCAAAACTCCTCGATGCTTCCGCCTTACCCTCACTGCAGTCTCCATAAGTAACTGCTGCGTCTCCAAGTGTCTGCAGGCAGTTAATTCAAAACAGAAGGCTCACATCTTCCACTTCACAGTTCAATTTAAAGTAAGCATTTTTAAGTAGGTACTATATTTACCTGGATGATTCAAAAAGGCATATAGAGAAAAATCTCCCTCCCATCCTTATTCCATAGATACTAAGTTCTCTTCCCTAGAGGCAACCAATATTAGTATCCTCCTGTGTATGTTTCCAAAGATATGTTATGCATAGATTCACAAATACATCATACCTCTTGAGATAAAATGTATTGGTTTTCAGTTACTGATACCCACTTTCCCAGTAAAGAGGAATGCCCTCTTTCTTCATTGCTGGCTGGGCAGTGCCTTCTAGAGTGGAAAGAGTATACCTGCCACTCCATAAACAGACACACCCCTGTGACTCACCTTGACCAATGGAGATGTGAGCAGAAATCACATATGCCAGTCCTAAGCAGAAAGTCCAAAGCCATTGTGGGCTTCCACTCCCTTCTGGCTCTTTTCCTCTGCCATGAGAACAGATGTCCAAGGGGCTGCTCTTCCAGCCTGGGTTTCATATGTTTTGTGGAACAGTCTCAGCAAACTCACAGCCACTGTATTAGTTAGCTATTGCTGCATAACAAATCACCCTAAAATTGAACAGAAGCTTACATAAAAATATTTGCTGTCTCAAAAAATTTCTGAAGGTCAGGAGGCTGGAAGCAACTTGGTAGGGTGACTCTGTCTCAGGATCTCATAGGTTTGCAGTCAAACCACCAATGGGTCTTCAGCCAACTAAAGTCTTGACTGGGGCTCAGGCATCTGCTGCCAATATAACTCCCTTGTGTAGACAACTGCAGGAGGCCTCAATTTCTCGCTGGTTGCTATCAGGAGGTCTCAGTTCTTACCATGTGGGGCTCTTCCTCAGGCTACTCAACGTGGCAACTGATTTCCTCCAAAATAAGTGATCCAAGAAAGAGAGAGATAGCATGTGCTCAAGATGGAAGCCACGGTGTCTTTTATTATCTAATCTGAAAAATGGTATCTCATCACTTCTGTAGTATTCTGTTGGTTGTAGAAAACCAACTCTAGTGCCATGTGGGAGAGGACAACAGAAGGGTGTGCATGCCAAGAGGCAAGGATCGCTAGGGCCATTTTGAAGGCTGGCTGTCACAGCCACAGACAGGAAAACAAAGGGGAAAAAAAAGCATGCTTTTAATATTTGGGCATTGGTTGTTGCCTCGATATAATATATTGAAACCTAACTGGTATACTATATATCTTTATAAACTTTCTTACAGTTTTTTTCTCTCTATTTTCAAAGATGAAGAATGGAGCTCCCTTACACTCTCTTTGGCTTTCTTACACTACCGTCCATTTCTTGAGTTTGATTAGTTTTATTATTCTTTTTAGGTTTTCCTATTGGCTATGCATATCACTGTAAATTATGTATTTGGATCTTGTTTCATCTGATTTAGACAGCATTAGTTTACCATCCACTCTATAGAATTAAAATTTTGCACTTCTCCTAACATCACCTCCTTCTACACTTCTGTCAGTGATACCATTATTTGTGTACAAGGTTCTCTTTGCCCTTTTATATCTTTCTCTTCAAACCATGCTGTTGTGTGAAGAATTCACAAAACTAGATCTCCACAGAGCAAAGGACCAATAAAAGGTCCCCATGTGTAGGCTGAGTATCTATCAAAGAGACATAAAGATGGTGGCACTGAAAAGGGTGGTGGATTTGATGCTGCAAGGCTTAACTCTGAGGCAGCAGACCACCTGGAACCTAGACAAACTCCTGACCTATGGTCTCATGTGATGGCATTTAGATCCTTAGCCAGGGCAGGAAGCAGTCTCCTTCTGAGGCTGAAGTCCCAAGGCTACCACAGTCCAGGGTCATCAATCCTGGTGTTTGTGCAAGGAGAGTCCCTGATCCCTAGTGAAGAGCTAAGGAGAGGGAAGGTGACAGAACTTTCTTGACAACAGAAATTCTTTGTGTCACTCAGCACCACGCTCACTGTTTTTCCTGGAAAATAGCCACCGGGAGCATAGATAATTCCTCTTCCCCAAGACATCAGAGTGGAGTATCCTGTTGAGCTCTGTTCTTGTCCCCTTAGACCTTGAGATGACAGGAGAAGCATTACCAAATACAACAGGACACTCAATTACATTTCAATTTCAGATTTTAAAAAGTGGATTTATTTAGGATAAGTATATCTCACATACTGAATGGGATATACTTATACTAAACAATTATTTACTGTTTATTTAACTGAGCATCTTGTATTTTTACTTGCTAAATCTTGCAACTCTAGATAGGTAGAGCTGGGACCCTCTTAACAGAAACAGAAGCAGAGCCAGAGCCCCACAAGAAAGTGCTGACCGAACCAAGACCGTCATGATGAACCCACCAAGCCTGGCTATTGCTAAGCTAAGAGAGTTGCCCTATAGAGAGGGTCATCCACATAGAAGTTTTCCAGAATTGCCATGTATAGCTTTATCTACTGCCCTCAAATTACTTCATATCCAAACAATTCCACACCTATCTCTCAGCCTGTATGTAAATACTTTGCATTCAATGTATTTGTACTTGTTGATAGCCTTATACATGCTGTGTCTTTATCTAACAGATCCAGATTCCATACTTACTAAATGGTGACAATGTGATGGAGAATAGTATGAGGTGATGTCTTTATCTTTACAATAACCCTGTGAGGGAAGCATCACTTATTATTATTGCCATTCCTATTTTCCAGATGAGAAAACTGAGCTTCAAAGATTCCCTGTAGCTGGATGCAGTTGTGTGGGTCTATAATTCCAGCTTCTTTGGAGGCTAAGGCAGGAGGATCTCTTGAGCCCAGGAGTTGGAAGGTGAAGTGAGGTATGATTGCACCACTGAACTTGAGCCTGGGTGACAGAGCAAGACACCATCTCAAAAGAAAANAAAAAAAAAAAAAAAAAAGGAGGAAGAAGAGGAAGAAGGAAAAGAAAGAAGGAAGGAAGGAAGGAAAGAGAGAGAGAGACAAAAGAAAAGAAAAGAAAAAAAGAAAAGAGTCTCACCAAGAAGGTGTTACCTGAGGCCTCATAACTAATAAGCGCTAAGATTTAAATTTCTTCCAAGATTAGCCACTCCCTGAATGCCTTAAATGCTTTCGTGATTTCCCATTCCCACCCAAGACACCTACTGCTCAATACTCCCACCAATGGCCAGGTACCATCTCCTCACCCCCACTGAAACTCTTAAAAAGGCAGAATTCATGCAAAAGAAACAAGGGAGTGGGGACACTCCCTTCTACAGGACGGTGACTTGGTGCCTCTGGGATTTGCCATGAACACCATGGGAATCAATCAATACCTTTGTCCATAGAGACAAAGTTATAAAAAGTGGACAAATCCTATACTTGTTTGGAGAAGAAAATTGGCTGTGATTTGCCAGCCTAAGAACCTACTTAACCCTTAGAGTACAATTTATATTGGCAGATGCAATGCAAGTTCAAACCATTGACTTAGAAATGAACTTGTGCAATGCCCATATTTGGAGACTGTGCCTCCTTCACCTGTGTGTGCATGTATGCAACTGTGTGTACCTTGTTCTTTCACTATACTGCAAGTTCAGGAGGGACAGGGATCACATGGTTTGTTGGCTTGTTTTTTTTCCCTTCCAGCACTAGAGCATCATTTTGGCCAGAGTTGAGCTTAATCTATGCTTTTCACTGATGAAGAAAACAAGGGAACCTTCACTTGCTTCCGTCTTTAGAAATTTTTGCAGGACAGGATATTTGCAATCACCTGCAGTTATTATTAACTGCTAGCTAACTGCAACAGTTATTTTTCTTAGTGGCATAAATGCCTATGAGCTTTCAGTTTTTCCTGTTGAGAATACACAGGCTTACTTTACATCCTCACAGTTCCCTGAAAGAATCCAGAAAATGTTAAGAAAATAAAACCACACAGAAATAACATAGGTATTGTGCCCCCTGGACCAAAGCAATATTCAGTTTCAATCTGGTGGTTAGGAAAGAGGAAGGAACATCTTAGTCTGAAATCCTACCCACGAAAAGAGTCCAAAATAAAATCAAATAAAACATGTATTGTTTAGGCAAGTGTTATTGCCGGATGACATTTCAATTCAGTCTGCTCTGCTTAATGCCTTCGTTTCCTACTCTGGAGGACGAAAGCAGCCCTCTCATCCCACAGGTTCAGAAGAAAGCTCCCCTTTGCAGGCAGAGATGCCATTTTCAGCTTTGGAAGAGAAACAAATCGTGTTATTGTCAAGGCTGTTACTGAGAACATCATGCTCTCAGCCCTACTGGCTTGGCCATAGTCAAAAGAATCAAACAAAGCTGTCTGCCATGAATTTCATCATTCTGGCTTGCCCAGCTGGGATCTCCCCCCACCCCTACCCCAATTCCATTCTCAATTCAAATGCCCTAGAATTTGTTCCAGGAACAAGTTAAAATTCCTTCTAATTTCAGACTTACCAATAATGCAAGTCTTTTCTCTCTCTCTTTTTTTTTTTTTGTTAAGAAAAGAAATGTTAATTACTGGAAGATCCTGGGCAGAGAGCTCTAGAGTCTAAAGCCCCCCAAGGAAAAGAGGGAGATGGAATGATCAATTTGCATGACTGGAGGATATACACGAAGTGTAGGCCACTGAGCAAATATCTAATTGCCTTTCAGGGCACAGAGGCCCTAAGGCCCCATGCTTGGCTCTGACACCTGTCACCACTCCTGAGTGGACCCAAGGGAGTTTGTCTGCTCAATAAAGGCATTAGGGTCTTACCTGTTAATCTCTTGCCTCAGGGCCTGTACATAGGTCCCTTATTCATTATACTGTCAACTCCTTCACCTTTGAGGTGGAATAGAAATGCAATAATTGTCCTGTGGGATTGGGAAAACACAAAGGATAATGTGTTCCCCCAAACAGTGTTATTTAACAGTTCATCAGATGGGGGAAAATGTACTGGCAGCTTTTCTTATGCTTGCTTTGAGCACGCATGCCTGTGAGTGTGCGTGCATGCGCATGCACACTTCAGTATGGGGTGGGGAGAAGCGTTTTTTTTTCCTTTTGGAGTTTGCTTTGTTATTAAAATTTTCTTTGAAAAATACCATTTGCTAGAACCTTCTTTCTAGAAACCTCCAATAGGAAATACTAGAGTCAATATAGGGTAAGATCTACTGTTTAGAAAGCAACACCTTTGGAGACAGAAATAGCAAGATTTGAATTCTTGCTCACACATACAGACTGATTTGAAGCAAGTGAGGTTATTGTCTCTAAACCCTTGTACTTAAAGAACT